GAGCCTATTACCCAGACGCTTGCAAAGGTGTTGTATGACATGAGGTTTTATGAGAAATCGGAGGTTGAAGCGGTGAAGAGAAAGGGGATTGACATGTCAACGTTTAACCCATTCACAATTTGTAGAATTTCCGATGTTCCTCAGCAAAGTGATGGGTAAGCTGTGTTCATTTAAAGCACTTTGTGCATGTTGTCAGTATGTGCACTTCTAACTTCTGTACTGCTCGGGTGGACAGTACCTCATGTGGCATTATGATCGTCAAATTTATTGAGTATCTCAGTGTTGGCATTCCTTTTAATACCATTGACCCAGCCAAGTTTGGCTACTACCGATTGAAGCTTGCAATCGAGGCTCTCAGGGGAGAGGCCTATGTATGAGGTAAAAGTCTCAGGGGAGACTGCCTTCAAAATTGCATAGTTATTTACCTACTTTGAATTATGTCGTATGTACAGAGTTGTGCTTTCAGTCTTCATTTCAGACAACTTACAGTATGTTGGCATCTTTTCCAAGTTTTATGAATACGAATGCCGACTGTTGTTAATCAAAGTTTAGGGTATTGGGGATTTCAACACCGTAGATGGTAATGTACATGTTTTGCAACTGGCATCTGATTTAAGTATGGCATATGTTCTGAACTCCGACTGTGTATCATCCAAAACTTGTATCATGTTGTTTATGAAAGGTGAATAGAATTACTTATTAAAATTGCTCCAATTATTAAGACGTTCAAGTTTCCCTTTCTATGAATGCTAACTCTCGGCACATTTGGCCTTCTTATGCAGGTGGTCCTTCCAGGTTCATACCCATATTGACATCACAGATTCTGTACATGTATGTCACAGAAGTTGCAGGCTGTTTCGTCGTTTTGTCAATCCTGAAAATGAATGCGATGTTTTGCCTTACATGGCACCATTTTTGACTTTGTGTACAGATGGCGATAAAGGGTGGTGATTTTGTAGTATGTTGCAGGGTGTTAATTTCTGTAACGTAATTCGCCAGTACTTGTATTCCATAGTAGAAGGGCTGTACTCACGTTTCCTTTCTGACAATGCGGTTATTGACCTTCTGTACTTGACATGTTTTGTACAGGCATATAACAAAATATCCTTCATTTGGCCGAAGTTGCAGCCATATCAATTTTTTGTGGGGCACCCACATTGTAGCCGTTTTGTTTTGTGTGGTTCGGTGTAATACTTACTTTCGTATATTAATTATTTTCATCCGATCTGGACGGAAATGTTTGGGGTCGTTAGCCGAAACAATATCCCTAACTCTCTGCTGGGGCAATTACAAAGTATTATAAGATTTGATCAAGACATTTGATCAATGATTTGATCAGGGAATTTGTCAGCAAATTGGATGACTCTGTCAATTTGATGAATTTGGGAGTGGCTTATGTTAAAACCAAGAAATCTAACATTGGTTTCAAACAACTTCATTTTCTTAGCAGAGACAACTACACCATTTTGGCTAACTTTTTTAAGCAACTTATGCAAATGTTTCCATTCATGTTCTATGGACTCAGAGAAGATAACAACAGCATCAATGTAGACTATAGAGAAATGACTATGCCAAAAAGCATTAGGAAGATCACAACAAATATCAAACTTCATTTGTTCTTCAAATGTTCGAATTTATATTATTTTAAACTTAACTTATTCTTGAAGAGATTTCAACTATCGATCTTTGTTTTGAATTATACTAACTGTTTTTGCAACTATATTTTTTCCAAGGATTCTGCAGTTAGGTAACTCAAGCTTAGTTCAAAAAATCAAATTTGAGTCTTTCTCCTACATAAATAGAACTAACACCATCATGTTCAACCTAGAGCGGATATACTAAACCTATAAAGGGTAATCCTAATATTACTTCATCGGTGATGTTTTTTACTAAAACAAAGGCAGTTTTAAAACAGATTTTATTTTAAATTTTAGCTTTTGGAATCTCATAATTTAACTGTAAGGCTTTTCCCGACGCAGTACTTAAAGACTCTGTGGATTTCTTATAATACTTTGTCGGGAAAAGGCCTTCTTCAATACAGTTAAGGTCGGCTCCTGAATCAAAAAGTGCGACTGTGTGAAACTTATAAATGTGGACAACTATTTTCACTGTAGAATACCACTTTCTAAAATTCACTTGTTTTACTAATTTGAAGGGCTTGATCTTTATTAGACAGCTCATCTTCAAAATTGGTTGGACTTTCATATTGACTATTAGACGCAGAATCATCCTTTTCTAGACGAGTAATTAAATTCTGTTTGATTTCATAATTCTCAGTTTCAACTTTATGACTCATTTACTTTAACTCAATGATTTCCTTGTTGACTACTTTTATGTCAGATTGTAGGTGTTGAAGGGTGACTTCTTTTCTCTTGCTAAACTTTTCTACTGTTGTATTTAGACTTATTTAATTAGGGATAGTTGACGGACTAGGACTTTCTTGGCCAATGAGTTTTCTTGGTTTCTTCAGGTACTCCGATTTGAGCTCAGGATTTGATACTTTACTTATTAATTCTATGAATAACTCTTCTTGCTCTTCTTGCTTAGTAAGGACTATAAGTGATTTTGAATTACAACAGTTATCTTGGCAACAAAATTGGACTCCAGCTGAACTAGACTGGGAATCAGAGGACTGGTAGGGTTCTGACTCAGAATTGTTGACTAGTGTTTCTATCTCACTTGTTTCAGAGTCTCACATCTCTAAACCTATAATTAAATTGTCTTTTTCCTCATTCGTGATTTTCAACTGTTTCATAGTATCTTTGGCTTATGCACTCTGAGCCATAATGTCCGAACTTTTGACATTTTTAACATGTAACTTTGCTATTGTCTTCACTTGTCATAAAGTGACAATGTTTCGGTGGTTTGGACCTATTTTTCTTAGGGTAAACTTTCTTTTTCCTATAGAGCTCATGATTATATTTATTCCGTTCAAAGGCTTGTTTTCTTCGTGAGTAATGAAGACTTTTCCTAATGTGACTCGGGTAATTGGACTTATTTTTCGTAGACGGAGGTACTGACGTAAGACCATATTGTTGACATAAGTTTCCTAACTCATATTTAGCAGATTTGTGCTCAGATTGTATTTGTCGACCAATTTTCATAGGTACCCACATTTTCATACCAACTTGGTTAATTGTACTAATTATATTTCCATAGGTTAAATTATTCCAATCAATTTGACCTTGCTCATTGCTGAACTCAGTTCTTCTTTTATGGCCAAATAAGTTTGGAAGAGCGGTAATGAATTTTTCTTTCCAAAACGGTTGATTACTATCTTCACGAATCATGACTCTACAAATTAAAATATCTGTATACCATCTAAAATCAGACAGCTTAGAACATCTCAGATTACTCAGTTGATCAAGTATTCTAGCATTAGTATGAGTATGGGTTCCAATAAAATGCTGAATTATAGTATAGAACAAAGTATTAACACCATATTCATCAAACCTCTTCCATTACATCCATAACCTAACCACCTTTAACCTGCCAACTGTAGATGAACAAACCTCCTATTACATTTGGAACACAACAAATAAATGATCATTCCAAACATGAAAACAGAGACCCAAAACCATGGGTTTTTCATCTTCCCTTTTCCAGCATTTCTTTCTTCTTCAAAGCGGTTTATTTTCCTAAGTAAGCCTAGAATTATGTGCTTCGATCTGTCACACATCTCTGGGTCAGCCCATTCCCAAAATGTACATCCATTCCTCTGCATAAACGGAAACAATATTTCCGTTACAAAGAGGCGCATCATCACAATTGGAATCCACGAAAATGCCAAATTTCAGGTCAAACTTACAGAGAAATAAACTTACCCTTGCACATACTTGAAACCTCCTTCCAGGATGAGAAATCGTCCAGGATGTATGCGTTTTGACAACATTCCCACAGTAGCACAGCCGTGAACATACTGAACTCGCGTCTTCCATTTCCCACCGAGACATTGAAGGCGACTCTTGAGAGTGGCATGGAGACCTCACTGACTCAGCTGCACCGCTACGGAGGCTCCTCCTACTCATCTCCTTGTTTTCTCTGTATGAATTGTTGTTCAACTTGTGCGCTATTTGGAGAGGTCAAGAGGCTCATCTTGTGGTCAATGGGTTTCACTTGCATGTGCGAAATTTGGATAATAAAACCGTGTGAGCGCACCAACATGAAACTTGGAGTTTATGGGGTGGTTTTTATACAACATATCAAACTTTACCATAGGCAACACTGAGGGCCTAATCCAATTGGAATGTTATTCATACCCTTATTTTGGAATCCACATACGGCATGGTATACACTTAGAAATACAGTACATGTTAATTCTTCGTTGCGTGTATATTGGTTTATTATTGACGTATTGGTGTTATAGTGCAACTATATTGGTTTGCTATTGCCTCTTTATTGGGTTTGTAATGCTCTTTATTGGTTTTCTAATGCATGATATTGCACGTATATTGGCATTGCAATGTAACCTGTGCATTATTTTCGGTTGGTACTGCTATTCAAAATTGTTTGTTTTATGCTGTCTTCAGTAATGGTTTTGCAATGTCATTTGACAAGTGTACAAAGTTGAACTATGTGGAAGGTAATTACGTTATAATTCAGATTTGAAATGAATGCATCCAAATTACATCAACTGCTGTTTTAAAACTTCCAGCATACTTAATACAAAGAAGGCAACAGGAACAATCAAAATACAAAGGCCTCCTCAAACTGGCAGAATACAAAATAAAATAACATCCCAGCGTGAACTTACATAAAACAACATATTAAAAAAACAAAACAACACAAAAGGTGACCACAAACTTACTTAATACAATGTTAACAAAGATGGCACCTGAAGATTACATTATACATATCAAAAAAAGAGGCCCCCTCAAACTTACCTAATACAAAATAAATAGATAAACAGGGCACCTCATCCGCACATAATAAAAAAAGAGGCCAAGTCATACTTCCATTCCACTGTACAAAGTTTGTCCTAAACCGTTAAAATGGTCATATTACAAGTCATATCTTCTGTCTGTGGATACATTTTGAGTTGCATACCCTTCAATGAGGCGACCGCGACCCATTAAATTCATGACCCCTCCCACAGTGATGTCCCACTTTCCTTCTGCATCCACAATTTTTGCAAACTTCCTAAATAGTTCGAAACCAGATTGCAGTTGTTTTTGCTTCAACTGAGCCATTTCGTCAGATTCCTTGAATACAAGAACTGCAGTGGCAGGGGCATTTTCAATTTTAGCTCTGACAGCCTTTATATGTAGGAGATGCATCCGGGCTTCATAACGTGGCCAATTGTGCGGTTTTTTATGATACCCCACCTAGCTTGGCCCTCTTTAATTTTTAACACTATGTCTGCATGGAGATTTTTCCAGAACATAGTATTGGCTCGACATTGCTGCAGTCCATGGACCCAGTCTTCAGTGTCTTCTGTTGCTGATTAGGCAGGTGTGTCATTGTCCCCTCCTTCAATAATGGCAAGGGTTGGGTTTGGTGTGGGGTTTCAGTCCATGGGTGTTGGGTATTTACTGCGGGTTTGGTGTGGGCATTAGTTTGCCCAAACTGGAAGTAATTGTGATGTGGGTGAAATTGTTGCGCAAAGGGGGGGTTTTGACGGAGTAAATGTGATGGAAATGTTGGGTGGATGCAGCTGGGTTACAATTAAATAGTGGGAGGTAATAATGAGCAGGAGTAAATGACAGTCAGCAACTGGCGGGAGTTATTGGCGGGAGTTGTTGGCTCCAATTTTTGGCGGGAGTGGTTGGCTCCAATTGTTGGCCAACACGTTACACTTGGGGTTTGTGTAATTAGGTTATTGGTTGGTGTTTGTTGTATGGGACCGTTGTTGTATTTGCAAATTATTCCTGTTTGTCCTCTTTGACCAATTTCCCTCGTGTATGAGGTACAAATGTCCCAAAAGTACAAAATGTCCCAAATTTATAAGTACGGTCATTTCGCAAAGTACAAATGCAGATGTTTACAAAAAGGACCATGAAAGTATATGTGTTTCGAATTTCTTTGTTGCTATCTTCCAAATAACGGATGTAGATGAGTTCCATTTTTAATATATCGGTAAAATCCGAATTGTGAATTTTGATACTTGCAAATAAGTTCATGTGTATTCCGCCCACTTGACGTTAACTTCCCCTTGAAATGTGGGTCGGGACTGTATATGACTGTTTTCATGTTATTTAATTTTCTCATATGGTCAACATATAGTATCGTCATTTGTAGGGAATACTGAATAATTTATAAACATTTATGTATATTTCGTTATTTGGATAATTAGGGAACTTGGTCGTCATTTGTAGTATTACTATGTGAAGACCTTGAATATTCAGATAGTATACAGTTTTTTAGTAAGGTTGTGTTTATTGTGTATTCACAGTTGTTTAGGTGTGTATATTTGTACGGGCGATTATTCCACCGTTGACATACCTTTATTCGTATTTGGTAAGGCTGTAATGGGCATCTTACAATGCTCTCATTAATTACAAAGAGGACAGGGTGCAGACAGAGCTGTAATGACCAATTTGAAATAAATATAAAACACATTGTCTTCCTCTATATAAGAGGGTTTAACGTACTCATTGAATTCCATATCAAACATAGTACTCCATATATAGCAGAGCGCAAACCTATACTAAAGCTCACCCTATTGTTGGTTACGAAGAAAAAAAACTGCATACTTATACCTAATGTTAAGTGTTTTGCACGGTGCATGTGTGCAATTTCCCCATCCATAGTTGAAGATGTCAGACGTAATCCCTCCGAACGACCATGGCAGTTACCCGGGAGACCCGCCATGGCATGTCCCTTTCCCATCTCCACCTGGGACTCCAAATAACGATCCCACGTCATCTGGAAGTGAGGCTGACAACAATGATCCACTAGACAAAATTGCTGAAGTGAAGCAGGACCTCCAATATTTGTGTGCGGCTACGGATTGGTGGGAAACGAAATGTGATATTCATGGCCAGGTGATGGGAAACTTGACGAACAAGCTGAACAATGCATATGCTAGAGAAGTCAAGCAAACAATGAAAGCCAAAAGTCGGAGGGCAAAGTTAGAGTGGTTGAAGGTCAAATTGGAAGAAACAAAGAAAGATGCTGTGCAAAAATTCACTGAATCTGAAGAATTTAACCATGAAATGGTTGAATCTTTTAACAATGGGTTCGAGATGTTCCGAGATTATGCTTCCGTCATCTCACCAGACTACAATTGGAGCCAAATAGATGTTGCTGGTGTCTGGCAGGTGCTGAATAGCTGTGGCCAAGGAATGGCTGATCATAGCCTTGTGCATCAGCGAGGAAGAAGAACAAGGACATGGATCTAATGATGGACCTGTAATCGTTTGGATTTTGGTAGGGATCTGTGTAGCTGGGTCAGGGTAAGTACGGGTTCAAAGCATTTTGTGGACACGAAATGAATTTTGTATGAATGTGGTGCCTTGTTTACGCCGTGCTCTTATTCTCACGGTTCAGTGGCAAATTAGTAAGTTTGTATAAACGTAAAGTGTTGTGTACTGTATGTGTGCTTATTGTATGTTTATTGCCCTCATATTGGCAGCGTCAAGTACTTATATTGTTTGTGTATTGGTATATTATTGCCTCATATTGGAATCGTAGAGTACTTATATTGTTGTTTTATTGTTTTTGTATTGCTACTGTATTGTGTCATATTGTGATCGTAGGGTAGGTATATTGTGCTTGTATTGATGCTTTATTGATTGGCATCATAGCATATAGCTTTTCCAATTGAGTAATGGTAAAGAGGGACTGTAGCAAAGGTCGTAACGATGGCGGGTTTAGGAAAGTTTGGTGGTTCTGAAGCACGAAAATATCCATGGAAAGATCGGAAAGATATCGATTCCATACAAACCACGGACAGTATACATACATGCAAATTTTTACGTGGAACAAAAAGACACTTATGAAAGGAAGAATTAAATACGAAATAAAAAAAAGGAGGGTGTTCATTTAAGTAAACAAGCAACAATTTGAAGGGATAGTAATTTCAGTACTTATAATGAACCTTCGAATTAAAGAAGCAATAACATGAAATGGATTAAAAAGGTTTGTAATGAATGACATCAAGTAATGAAATAATTGAGCAACAATATAGAACACTAAGTAAATAATTTTCATTTTGCAAAACAGGTTCGAACACTTATAAATACCAGAGTCCATAGTCAGTAATCAAAAAGCGATGACTGGCGTTGTGGTTAAGTACCTCAGAACCTAGAAGGGGGGAAGGGTTTCATCCTCTGTGTGTGTGACTTCAAGTGAATAATGCTTTTGTATTTAAAGTTCACATCACAATAGATCGCGATATTATAGATAATATCGCGATCTGTTGACCAGCAAGAACGGCATGTATACTTTCCCACAAATTCTCTATATATTCTGTTCTGTGGCGATGAGAAGAATGAGCAATCATGAAGTACTACCAGTATCACAGTAATTGCGTAAGCTTTGCATTTGAAGGAGTTTTATGTACGAGATGCAATTGTAGTTAGCCTTGTAGGCGCTTTCATTTTGGACGCAACAAAAGGACAGCAGCATGATGATAGTGTGAATATACAATCACATATAGGAAAGGAAAGCAATTTATGAGAATTTGACTACAATCACAATAGAGAACACCAAATCAAATTCAATTCAATTTCAAATGAAAGGTACATAACAAATGAACAGAAATGCTAATCTGAAACACACATTGGCCAGTAGAACATTGTTAATTTACGGCTGGTTTCACTGTGGTGATGGCACTGTATGTTCACCAATTTCTACTAATAATAGGCTGTCATTGCAAAGGACTTGTTACCTTGTTCCATATGCTTCACATGACCGTTGAGTGGACCGACTTCCATCCCTGCAGCATCACCGAAGCTATTCATCAACTTCGCAGTTGACCAAAACAGAGGTAGAAACTAAACAAGTGTAACATCTACGCAACGTGCTGCTTGTTGGTGAGAGGGACAGATTGTTTGCATGTACTTCGGTAGTGGCCCTTCACACCACACCTTGAGCATTTTTTTTGACGGGACTCCTCTCCTCTCGAAGCTATTCTTTGCGTTTTGCGACGGCCCGGCATAACCTTACAAAGAGGAGGGAGGATTTTGACCTTCTTCACATTTTGGGGAATAACCCATGTGCCTTCAGGTGGTACAGGATAAATAGATTCAGCATATGCAGCTGCCCATGTAGCTCGTGTATAATAAGAAGAGGCAAAGGAGTAGGGGTTCAATTTCAAGTGCCGACATACCGCAATAGCGTGCTTGCACGGGAGTTGCTCCAAGTCAAACTTCCTGCATGTACAACTACGGTTTTGCAAGTGCACCAGACCGTTCAAATCACCATCCAGAACATTATACTCGACCTCATTGATTTTGACCACATTCATCCTTGACGCAGCGTCTAACCTCTTCCTTAACTTAATTTCCCCTAAATCAGGGCACAACATAGAATGAGATTTCATTGCTAACTCTCGACGTTGCCTAAACCAACAGACAAGTAGATTTGTAATTTCGTCAATCAAGTGTAGCACCGGAAGCATCCTTGCAAACCGAAGAACTGAATTAATGGACTCCACAATATTCGTTGTCATCACATTATATCGTCGTCCATCACAATGGGCCCGAGACCACTTCTGGACGCCTGCACGTAGTAAATAAGTTCGCACTCGGTCATTGTTTATCCTGGAAAAGTGACGATTGAACTCCGCTAGACGATAAGACTTAGCTGCCCTTACAAAATACCCCAATATCGGATCCCGCTGCTTCAACTTAAATGAGGCTTTGATATTGCCTTTCAAGTGATAAAAGCAAATACCATGGCTTGCCCCAGGAAAAACTCTACGCAACCCATTCTGTATGCTAACCTTGCGATCTGATATAACAACGAGATTCGAGCAATCACCAATTGCACAATGTAGTTTTCTCAAAAACCACTCCCAAGCTGCATCCGTCTCCAAATCTCCAATCCCAAAGGCAACAGGATATATGTTCCGATTTCCATCAAATGCGGTCGCAACAAACAAAACACCTCTATACTTGCACTTCAAATGAGTAGCATCAACAGCAATCACGGGCCGCATTGACGACTTAAATCCTCGTATGCATGCACCAATTGCCATAAAAAAATATAAGAAGTGATCAGCTGCATCAGTCTCAATGTATGTCAA